GTTCTGGGCTCCCCACTTCAAGAAAGATGAGGAGTTACTGGAGAGAGTCCAGCGGAGGGCTACGAGGATGATGAGGGGACTGGAACATCTCCCCTACGAGGAGAGGCTGAGGGAGCTGGGCTTGTTCAGCCTGAAGAAGAGAAGGCTGAGAGGGGACCTATTAAATGCTTATAAATACTGAAGGGTGGGTGTCAGGAGGATGGGGCCAAGCTCTTTTCAGTGGTGCCCAGCGACAGGACAAGGGGCAATGGGCACAAACTAAAGCACAGGAAGTTCCGTCTGAACATGAGGAAGAACTTCTTCCCTCTGAGGGTGGCGGAGCCCTGGAACAGGCTGCCCAGAGAGGTTGTGGAGTCTCCTCCTCTGGAGATATTCAAGACCCGCCTGGACGGGCTCCTGTGCAGCCTGCTGTAGGTGACCCTGCTTCGGCAGGAGGGTTGGACTAGATGACCCACAGAGGTCCCTTCCAGCCCCTACCATTCTGTGATTCTGTGATTCTGTGATGGTAGAAGGGTCCTGTGCAGGAGGGGTTGTTCAGGCAGTGCGTTGGTCCCAGGTGATGCAGGAGCCCTTGATAACAGCTGCCTGCCTTCCACCCCACCACAGCTGTCGAGTGTGACCCTGCTGGCTGCTGTGGAGTTACTTGCTCAGAATGCTGATGTGGAGTTACTTGCTCCTTAGTCACTGGGGCCTTCCTGTGTGGTTAAAAAAAAAAAATTGGTTCAGCGGGATTTTGTTGTCAAATGATGTGTCTGATGGTTGACATTGATCACAGTCTTGTCTCTAATCACTTCTTAAAGTGATCAAGTAAGTTTGCTTGGTAAGTTTTCTATGTTTTAAGGTTGACTGATTAGCATATTTCTTGCATTCTTTTTTTGCTTGAATTGTCTTTTGTAAGTTCTTTCGGCAGGAGGGTTGGACTAGATGACCAACAGAGGTCCCTTCCAACCCCTACTATTCTGTGATTCTGTGATTCTTAGCACCTCCACCGTGAGTTCCTGCAGATAATTGTTCATGATTCAGAAATTGTTTTGAGTACTTCCACACATGTTCATTAGGGCGTGTTTTATTGGATCTTCATAACCTGTATCTCTTCTTTTACTGCTCTGGTTTGGTTTCTTTTTGCTTTGTTAGTCATGTCAAGAGATGCAATTTGGCCTGTTTTCCAAGAACTGAAGGAAGAAGGCATGGGGTATTTTGCGTAGTTAGTTATGTGCTTTATACTTGTTAAATAATCCAGATTTCTTTAATGTTTCTGCTTGGTTCTTTTGTGTCCTGCTTTTTTAACTCCTTTTACATGATAGCCTTTCTAACTTCTCTGTACATGCTCACACTTACTCTCCCATCCTTGTTTCCACTTCTTGTACAGTTCTTGGATTTTTGAGATCATTTAATTTACCCTGGTGCATCTGTATTTCTTCTGCTATGTTTTCTCTTCTCAGGTCTTTTGGTGTAGTTTGTGTGTTTGCACAGTCTCTTTTTGTTTCATGGTTTATTGCAGCTTGTCATATCTCCTGAGCTATTTCTTTTTGTAAATGTTCTGCCTATTACTTTTCAGTGTTTGAATTCTGCTTCTTCAAAGTTAACTGTTGCAGTTCTGCTGCATTTTCGTCCTTTTTCGTAGATCCTTTATCATGACCATTTTCACCCAAACATTTACGTGGACCATCTCTTTATCTTTTCAAAAACCTAAGACATACATTTTTCATCTACAATACCACATCCCTTTTTCTCTAATTGTCTTTCTGAACCAGTCACATACCATTTATCCAGTGGCTTATATTGACTACTGATGGGAACATATTTTATTTTTTTGTGCATTTGTATTTTGATGTCATGGGTTGCTTCAATGTTTTCTGTGCTCTTGGCAGTGATCTTCTCGCATTCTCACTCCTTTGCGGTGCTTATAACCAGTGGTTAACTATTCCTTGGTGAGCTTACAAAGGACATCTTAAGAATTTTTTTGTGCGTCTTATAACCCCTGTTCCTTTCTACCACTTCTCTTCACAAAAAGGCAAACCAAACATTGAGAGAGTCAAGTCTTCATCTCCAGCTATGCATTCACCCATAATAATTCAGACCTTGACTGGATATTTATCAAGAATTTGGTCAAGACATCAGCACAGTCCTTTCTTGTTTGCTTCTACACACTGTAGAATCCTTAGGTCCCCCCCGGCAGTCTGAGAGTCCATACTGCTTCTGTATGAGCTCAAATCTCCAGGTGTTCCTAATGTCGTGTTCATTTGTTGGTATGGATGTACAGATGTTGGGCAAAAACTTCACACAGGAAGTAGCAGATCTTATGGTTCACTGGTAGGCTTCTGAATGTGTGGGGATTTTAGTTTATCTGTGGGTTCCAGTCAAGCCTTGATGCACTTTTGTGGATGGGGCTTGTGTATAAGTTTCAAAGTGATAGCTAGCCTCAAGAATTACGGAGGACTAACATCAGAATAAAGTATAACTTAGTGCTAATGCTTCTTGTATCCTGATGCATGTCAGCCTTTTTCTTCTACAGAGGTTTGTCCTTTTGAGATTTACTTCAATGTCCTCTCTTTTAAAAACAGGCAGAGAAAGCTGTGCATCAGAAAAAAGAACAGTCAAAGACTAAATGCCGTAAAGCTAGAAGGCGCCACATAAATTTAGTAGCAGAGTTTAATCGCAGGCAAAGAAAGAATATTTGGCTGGAAACGCATATATGGCACGCAAAGAGATTTCATATGGTAAAGAAATGGGGATACTGTTTAGGAGATAGCCCTACGGAGAAGAGCTACAGGGCTTGTTACCGAGCCATGACAAAACACTGCCTTCTTCAGGTACCAAATGTACATCTTTTTTATTTGTTTTCTTTGTTATTTTGCCAAGGTGAAGTAATCAACTGTACAGTTATGATGAATATTTCTGTCTCTTTGAAGTACTGTTGTGTCGGCTGTTAATAACTGCTAAGTATGAAATGAGTGATTTCATAACTTTAATGAAGGGTGGCGAGTGTCAGAGAGAAGATGAACCTTTAGAAGAGTCTTATGGTGATTATGACTGAAATACTGCGTCTTCAGTCTTCTCCAGAGCTGAGAGATTCAGTGAATCCCTGTATCATCTTCCTGAGCAGGATGCTATTGAAGACATGCACTTTGTTCCGTGTCCTTTTTTGCCCATTGGTTTGAGCGGCAGGTTGGCCCTCAGATCAGAAAGGCCTGACAGCTCTTCTATAACTAACAATTTTAAATTAAAAAAGAAAACTCGTTTCTTGTTGACGCAAATTTTAGTGAATGAAAAATTACTACTTCAGTGTAAATTGTGAAGCTCTGTCTGGTCCTTCCTTGCCAGGCTTTCATGAGTTATTCTGACTTTACTACAATCCTGTTGTTTCAGGATTTATCCTATTATTGTTGCCTGGAGTTGACTGGTAAAGAGAATGAGCTTCTGAAGCAACTTGGTCGAATATGTAGCATTGACACAGGTAAATTTTATGTAGTTCAAAATAAAGTTAAGACTCTGAACAGACTAAAGAATGAGCCATCCTTTTCCTTTTTTACTGTCCTGCCAATCTCAATAGTTTATACTGAGTTGTGATTTTGGTTGAAAAACATAATTAAAATGTCTCATACTAGACATTCTTATTTTCAGTTACTTATTAATAAACTAATTGTAGTACATGTTCTTTCTTTGATGTTGTCCTAGCAGCCAGAATGAATTTCGTATTTTTTTAAAAAAGAGATTATTTTGTTTTTCAGTAAGTATTTTCTTCTTTAGGATTAACATTTGAAGAGGCTTGTTGTCTGTCTGGAAGGTTTGAGGGTTCCGTGAATTTTTACCGAGCAGATCGCTATCCTGAGGATATGCTTGGTACCGTTACATTTATTTGGAAACCCAGGGATGGATCTGAAAACAGGCAGTTGTGGATCTGGATGCATCCAGCTCTCAAACGGGTATTTTTTTTCTTTACAGTTGAACTCTGATTTCTTTATGCATTGTACATTTTCAATGATGAAGATACCTTCTGAAAGGTGTAGAAGAACTGAATATAATACACAGCTTTAGGAATTACAAATTGGAAAACTGGTTCCGCTGTAACAGTATTTATTATCTGCAGCTTGTTTTTATAAAGCTTCTACTGAAGCTGCATGCCTTTGAGGTTTTTTTTAAGTTGTTTGAGATTTTTAAAAATTTTCTAGCGTCACCTGCTTCACTTGCTTGTTTGCAATATAATGTTGCTTGATTCACATCCTTCCCCCTGGCACCACCAACAGGCTGCTTGGTTTCATCACAGATAAACATAATCTGACACTTCGCTAAGAACTTAAAAAAAAAAATAATAGAAGGTATAATTTTGTGCACTGGCAATTTTTCTTACACTAATTTGAGAATAAATTCTTTGCAACATTCAGTGTTACTTTCAGCTCTTGATAGTAAGCCATAGACTTCAGCACAATGAAGTTTATTCCCTTAAATCCTTACAGGAAAATAAAATAGTAGAGTGTAATTCTTCAAACTGTACTAAGCTTTGCAATGTACTGCTTATCATCCTAATCCAATTTTTTCATTCTTCTTAAGGACATACTGAGAGAGTTAAAAGAAATTTTTCAGTGTTCAGAGCCTGAAGAAATCTATATTCCTGAGCCTGTTACAGCATCAGTTCAAGAGGAGGAACAAGTGGATGTTGTTCTGAGCCTTGGCAAGAAAAGAAAGAAGGAGGATAAAGAAGGAGAAAAAGCTGTGCCAGTGAAAAAAATAATTGGTGATGGCACTAGAGATCCATTCCAGTCCTACTCTTGGGTCTCTCAGTCTGCTGGTGTTGTGATTAGGTTTGTTCATAGCAGTCAGAAACTGTGTCCCTTGACCAGTTAGTATCGTTGAATTCCAACTTAACAGTACTGGGGAAAAAAAAAGTGTGTTATATGATTGTACATTCGCCTGAAATTTTTCTCTGTTTCAGTGATAGAACTATGGAGATTCTCAGATATCGGCTGATTGGCCCATTATCACACTCCGTCCTTACAGAGACCTTGAAAGCTGCTTCTCTCCAAACAGTAAGGAAATTGGCCGCTTGGATATTATTGTAATTTTTGTAAGATTTCTAAAATGTGCAAGTGTGTTTTTCCTGGAAAGAAACATAAACTATCTAGCCTTAGTTATTATAAAGGCTAGCCTATGTATTTCTGCTCTGTTAGCATCTCTGTATTGAGTCACTTGACTAATGCTGATCTCAGGAAGAGCTATCTGGATTTTAAGTGGGGGTAGGAAGAAAATAGAAGCAATGGTGCTGTTGAGCAGGCTACGTAGTTTCTTCTGTAGTGATGTATTGTGCTGAGAGGTCCAGAGTAATTCATATTCTCTTTGGCAAACCATCGATCATGTTTCTCGAGCAACGAGCTAGAGCACGTAGAGTTAAAGGGCAAGACAGATAAGGCATAGAAAACTTTTGTGTTGTCAGTCAAATATGCAGTTTCTACCAGTTTTAGTATTTTGTCCACCTCTTGGCACATAACATCACTGTAGTTTTTTGGGGATTTTTTTATCTCTTGCAGGACATATGACAACGTCATGAAATCTCTGGCTTTCTGTAAGAAATAATTAACAACAGAATTAAGAAACATTGTGGATTGTTTTATTTATTTTTGGAACACAGGTTAAACTGAACAGCTTATTGGGGTTTACTGTAATGTGGAGTATAGGAACAGACCGCATCAGGAAAAAAGTATTTTGTTTTGGAACTTGAAAAGGAAGAAAGCAACTATGGTGATTAAGGCCAACTGAGAGTGAATTCATACTGATAGAAAATACTGAATGACCATTTGAGTTTAATTAGATGTTTTGTTTTCCAGGAGTTGACAGATTCAGACATAGAACTGAATAACTGGTGGGTAGAAAATTGCAAGGACTCTGAAAAAGTATCTCTTCATCAACGTCAAAGTGCTATCTTTGAGCTTTTGGAAGGTATTTGGGCATGTGGGTGCTATGGGAGGAAGGGAAAACTCTTAAACTCTAGTGGTCAAAACCGGCATACTAAGAAGTTGACTTCAATTTGGAGATGCTTTTTTTGTGTTTGTTAGATCAAGAGAGTGATAAGTGCTTAGGTAATAACTGTGGCATGTCAAAGATTTTAGAAATATTACATTAAGGGAATTTTAAGCCTCTGTGTAGGCCAAACTCTTGATAGATAAACTGAATCTTGTTCCTCATCTTCATGAACTTAGATTTGAGATTGCTGTTTGTACAGTACCTCCACAGATAAAATGGTAGGCTCCTACCCAAAGTGAAAGTATTATACCTTGCTTTATATATTTTTGTTTCTAATGAATGGTTGTGTATTTGGTGGAGTTGTAAAGTGTCATGGAGTTAACAGTGTCTCCTCACTTTCTTGCACTGAAGCAGGTAAGGGACTGGCTTTGGTAGATCTCACACGATACTTGAGCTATCCAGTGTGAGGTAGTTAAGCAGAGATGAGGTAAAACTTTAAAAAACCCTTTTTTTAATTTCCTTTCTCTGGAAGACAAGTGTGAAAACAAAGGTTGTTTGTTCTTTAGGAGATGTGCCAAATGTAAAGGATGAATCGAGTCTGTAAGTTGTGAGAGTGGCCTCACTTCTATGCTAAGCATAAACGTCATTGCAAATTAAGTCTTGTGCTGCTATTGTTGTCTTTTGTTATTGGACATTTAACAAGCATTGGTGAGTTTTCAAAACATGTTAAACTGAGTACACTGGATTGCTGCTCTGGCTTACAATGGTGTTACATCCCTGCAGGCAAAAATGCACAAAATAGTAGTGCAGAAAAAGATCACAACTTAATTGGTGGTTTCACAGCAATGTGCTTCTGTGTATTTTTAAAGGGATGAGTTCACCATCAGAAATGCCACCAGGTACAATACTGGGCCTCACTGTTGGAGATCCTCGAGTCAATCTGCCAAAAAAGAAAACAAAAGCCATGCCAGACTTCGAAAAATACCAAGGTAAAATCCCTTGCTATGTTATGCTTCGCGTGAAACTGCCAAAGGCAAGAGATTTCTGTTTCGCTCTACACTTCTGTTTTCATTTACTGTCATCTTCTGCTGATTGTCTCTTGCTGTTTTCCTCTAGCATTCAATTTCAGAATGTTTCCTTCCATTTACACAGCCCCTTGCAGAACAGAACAGAACAGCTCAAACTTGCGCAGGATTTAGAACAGCAGTTGTGAGGGAGGGACATGCACCAAAGCTGGTCTTGTGCTCAGTGGAAGCCTCTGTCTGACCATACAGATGATCCAGGTTCGAATCCTGGCAAGGCCAACCAGGTGCTAAAAGCTGCTTCGTAAGTTTCTGTGTGGTGTTTAGTCTGCCTGATGCTGTTTATCTCTCCAAGAAGATACCTGCTGTTTCTGGTTTGTAGTGCTACAATTATGAAAGCTGCGGTTCCACTGAAAAAAAACCCAAAACCACTTACCATTGCAAGGTTAGCATTTCAGATGGCCAAGATGCTGGTTATGTTAAAAAAATCAAAGATGCATGTGTGACTTCTGAAATTTTTATTTCAGTGCTAACTTATACAACATTTCAGTGCAAAATTCAAATTTGGATGGATTTGAATTTCCTTGAAAAATGTACAAGAGCATGTACAGTATACAATGGAGTTTGTGTATAGTGCTGTGTAGGCATTTCCAGTTAGATTGACTAGACACAGACTGCCTCACCTCATATGAGAAACATAATAGCCAGCTAGCAAAGAGTAGCAAATAGAATGAGTTGGAGGATGCAGGGACTTGAAAATACTCTATTTCCGTGGTGATGTGTTTGCAAGACACTAGAATAATCTAGCCTTACCTTTCACTTAAATCAGGTTGAAAACCTATTTTAGTTACTGTCTTTTAGCTCTCCGCACAGCCCTCTGTTACGTGGATTTTTTTACATCCTCCTGTTCTGCCCTCTGTATCTAGAACAGCATTTCTCCTGTTAATTAGTTCTGCTCAGCTAACTTTCTCATCATTAGTGTTTCTGTTGGAAATGGTGCAACATGTGTGACCTGCACTTTGGTTCCTTCCTGCTGAGAAGTTAAGGTGAGCTGTATAGCACTTGTTTACAGATACTGCTTTGAGCTGGCAAAGGAGTTAGCAACTACAAGAAGTAATTTGGCCTGCTTCATTCTGCTTGTCGTGTCTGTGAAGATGCGTTCAAGAAGGCAAGATCAGCAGAAGGCCCGTAGGCATTGGAAATGTCTCATAGTAGTTTCTTTCCCACTGCCGGAGCTGATTGTCCCTCAGGAAGGAAGGCCGTGGTAAAGAGGTAATGATGTAAGATAGGGAGTCAAGAGGAAGAAAATATCTGTGTCTTTTTTCCTTTGGCTGTCTAGAAATGGTTACGTTCAACATCTTCCTACTTGGGGTTATCTTTCACTTGCAAAAAATCTTCTAAACCACAAACATTCAGAAAATCTAGCATTGCTTTTTGGTTCCTTGCTGATTGTTTTTTTGTTTCATTGTGAACTTAAAACTGCATCTGCCCTCTCTGACTTTTATTTGGGAGAGGGAGAAGGTCCTTGATCAGCTATCAAGGAAAGGGAAACTGCATGATACCTTCTAATTTAGGTTCTGCTAAAGGACTTGACGTTATACAAGCATGTCACTACTAAATAAGTTGCCTAGGTGGAAGGATGAAAGAAGACAGACAACACAGCTGTCTTCTAGTAGAAAATCAAAATGACATCATGGTAAGGGAGCAGGAAAGGAGAGGCCAGTCCTCTGACAATAAGCAGTTAAGGAAGGAATTTTAGGAAGAGTGGCAGGACCATTCACAATCTCCTGCATACCTATTACCTGTGCAGTGGGGGAAAACTGTCACATGGTAGTTCATCTCCTGCCTGAGAAACTCAAGACTGAGGTCTAACTGCCACTCGTGTCTCCCTCCTTGAGTAATGCTGTGTGTTAGTTGGGAAGAGAGGCTATTGTTACTCTCCAATGACTGTTGTTCCTAACCTAATTTTGTAGTTGACTACGTGACAGCTGCTGCCTGTGCTATATCTCTGCCTTAATGGGCCTCCTTGTTCAAGTAGTTAAAAGCAGAAAAGTTACGTCTCTTTAAAAACATCTAGAAAATTAATCCATGTTAGATCATTAAGCTTAGATACCTTTATAAATTTTTGGTCAGGGGAAAACATTCAAGTGCATTTAATAATTGTTGTTTTTGAAAGAAAAAGTAAAATTGCATATCTATTAATAAAAGTAAGCCTAGAGATATTCAGTTACTGTGCAGAATGCATTTTATGTCTAAATCTGTTCTCTCTATGCAAGCAGCATACTTTCTTGCCACTGTTCACTGTTTCAAGACCCATTATAAGGTCTTTCTGAATTCTGTCAGCTTAGTTTGTAATCTCCTTGGAGCATGGGGTCTTGTTGCATGTTTTACTGCCTCTGTACACCAGTTAGATTTATTCCTATTTCCTGTAAGCCTCTTGATTGCCTGGCAGGTTTGCAGGAGTTAAAAAATCAGTTAAATATATGAAAGAGAACCTGTTGAAGGCCACTCAGTGCAGAAGGATCACCTCTACCTGAAGAAGTCTGTAAGGCACAAGTGGCTAGGAACTGGCAAAGTGAGGAAATGCAACACTAGTAGTGATTCTAGTGGTGTACCCTTCCCCAGGACCCTGTTACTGGCCACACTTGGAGTCAAGATCACTGAAATACCCAACAAGAATTTCATAAAAAACAACGTATTCCCAAAGATGATGCTAGTTTGATTTAGCACTTTTGCCAGCATTTTTCCAGTCAGTTCTGTGCCCTCATTCTACTGGTTCTTTTGCCAAGAGTGACCCAGGAATGCAGACCATCCTTTTCTTCAACTTTTTGAAGGATAAGTTGTTTAAGCAAAAAAGGAAGGAATTCAGTCATGGCACATAGTATACATCACTACAGCAATAGTATTACCAAAATTTCCACATTAACACCCACCCAAAACGAAGTTAGACTTCTCTAAGATCTGTAATTCCATTTAGGTGATATTAATTTTCCCCTTCTGTAAGAAGAAATCTTTTTATGAGCCTTAGAACTGCATAAACTTCCTGAGTTGTGGTTTTGATGTAAACTTACTCAGATGTGGTAATATAGTGAGGTAATCTTTATTTAAGAAATGTTAGTAGCCATTCATTCACCTTAATGACATGTCATGTTGATTGAGCAATCAAAAGGAACTCGTGCTGTGTTCCTCACTTTTTTCCCCTTTTTGCTTCCTGGACATTCAAATACTATTAGGATTAGTATTAGTAAGATTGAAATGGCACTTTGTATGTTGGCAGATTCTGTATGTGCTGTAGCCTCTCTTGTTCTTTAATGTTGTATAAAAGCTAACTGATTTTCTCAAGAAATCTTTACTATTCTAAAGATGCACTGTTTGTCAAATGAGTGAATAGTTTAGGTAAGTTACAGCCACTGTCTTTGGCTGTGGATTGTCATTCATGCATGCAATCTGTGAAATGATACACATCTGTCCATATCCCTTTGTTTCCTCAAAATGCTGTTCTGAGATATGCCTGTGTAGTTTTTCCCCTGTGAGTGACATGCTAACAAATCGAAAGTAATTTCAGTCTTTCCCAGTTACTCTCACTCCTGAATGCATATGCATGTGTGCAAGCTGTGTGTTGTGGACACATGCTGATGTGATTTAATCAAAGAACTGTCCTCATTTCTTCAGGCTGGGGGATAGAAAGTTTGTGAATAAATCACTTTTCACTGCCCCCTCAGCAGGTTTATGCCTTCTGGAAGTCAAGACTCCCAGTAAGCAGTCAGTGCTGACATGACTGCAAATTAGTGCTGTTCTTTTCTCCATTTTAAAGTACACTGCTGACATTTTGATACACTTTTGCTGTCTTCTATGGGAGAATGCAAGTTCCGCTGCCTTAAAAACTGCTCAGTGTGGAGTATGGTGGAGCTTCTAAACAGTTAGTGAATGAAATGCATAGAAGGAGAATGCATCATGAAAGATCAGTGAGCTGAAGTTCCAGATACAAAGCCCGAGTCCTTGCCTGTGAACACACCTCTTGCAGAGGTTTAGGTACCTGGCATCAGTTTCCTGGTACACACACTTACCTGCATGTGGCTCTGAAACTCCTCCCTAGCAGTGCTTATATTTTTGCTGCTTCTGCTATTTCCTCGCAGAGGGAAGGAAAAATTTCTGGTAGAAGAACTCTTACTCGTAGGCCTGTCTTCTAAGACTGCTAAGATGATCAGCTATGCAAATCAGAAAAACAGCTTGAAATGGAACAAAACCTTCCTCTATCTGCCTGTATTGCCTAAGTGCCAACCATTGACACCAGCAGTAGAAGATAACGTACTGATGGTTGCTGAGCTTTGTGTGCTTAGTAATACAACTCCCTGTACTAGCTCGAACATCTTACTTCCACTGTCATCAGCAGCTTACTCATCAGTAGGGTTATTTCCCCAGCAATCTTAAAATGTGGGCTGAAGAAAACAGGAGAGAGGCAAGAAATAAAGAGAACTGGTTGGAGGATTTGGGATTATGATTTGAATTATAGTGTGCTTAATAGAGAGATTTAATTCTCAAAGTTCAGTGGGGATCAAGGAGAAAGAATGTACCAAGTCAGAGAAGGATATTTTGGGGTAGTGAGGGGGATATTGCCTGGACTGTGGCAATGGAAAGAGACTGATTTAAAACAGCTTTTTAAAGTGGGAAAAAAATACTCATGCCATTACAGGAATTGTAAAGAAGTCCAAGAATGACATGGGTAGACTGCCTAAATGGTGGGAATAGAAGGAAGTGGTAAAAAAAATTCACACCGTTTTGTTGCTGTCTTTTTCTTCTTCCTTTGAGGCACTGATATTTGCTGTATCTCTGGGCAAAATGTGCTTTGCCTCTAGGAGTATTGAGCACTTTTAGGTTCCTGCTCAGGTTCCTGTCCTTAATTTTTGGTTTGAGAATGAATTATTTTGACTTAATAGTCAGGGAATTGGCAAGGATTTCCTTTTTAGTTGTGTCATTCTTAATTTGAAGGAATGCCACCCTGATCCGATAATTTCTTCAGTATTTCTTCCTCTCATGTAAATGTAACTCATGAGCGAGAATGCGTAGCAAGCATCAGCTTCATAACACCATCAATCTATCAGGAGTGCTGTTGTATTTAGTATTTCTTTTGAAGGATTTTGCAACTCTTGATCAGCTCCATCATGATTATGGATTTTAAATAAATATCGCAGTTACGTTTGGTAGTACCTATTGTATTGTTAGTACCCCTGAATAATCCGTATCTTCTGTGCTCAAAGTCTTAAGTCAACATTAACTGGAAAAATTAACTGAATCTTCTTTTGAAAGACTAAATGATTTTAAAAAAGCAAAACAAAACCCGGCACGTTATGTTGCTTTAACATGTAAGACCTTGTAGATGACAAAATGAGCAGCAGTTCCTGTAAGTTTTAATCACCAGAACTATTAATAGGTTCGTTGTACTGCTTATTGGTAAGAATTATTTTGCTTAAAATACGGATCAGCATGTGTTACATACTGTAAACAGAAGGCTTTTAATCCATAGGTCCCTAAAGGTAGGTGTACATTTTCTCTGTTTTGGTTAGATGGTGGAGCTGAAGAAGAGATAGTTTAATACCTCAATGATCAGTTTTAAAGCTAGAAGTGTTATTTATCTTCAGTAATGCACACAACTAGTGGCCTGTGCAGACGTAAGCAAAGAATAGTCCCTTGCTTGAAGTGCAGAGCCTGAAAAGATCCGGAGTGGGAAGCTAGTGCTAAATAAGTAGTTGCATGCTAGTCATACCCATACAGATATTTCCTGTATGTGCATTTTTTAAAGGTTATCCTCACTTCTCTTACAAGTTTACTTAGGCAGACCTATTTCAGGCTTTCTAATGTTGCCTTTTCTGATTTTCACCAAACCTGCTGAGCTTCACACTCTGCCTGAAAGGCAAGATTCCAGAGTATTAAAGGTGGCATGCTGAAGATGTGACTTATATTGGCAAAGGGGGTGTAATTTGTAATAAGAAGTGCCTATTTTTAAGAGAATGCCAGGTTAATGCTTCTAAAATTGGCAGTTGATTTCACGCTTTGTGTTTGGGAAAACATGTGATAGTAAGATGCTGCAGAAGCAGTGATCCTCGTGAAACTTTTAATAGTCTTCTTACTTAGTTGTCTGCTCATTTTACTGATGATAGTAGAGTGGGTTTGGTAATTTGATACTTAAGTCACAAAAATTGTTTGAATTTTTTTTGAAAGTTCTCTTCTTTTGTAGATAATGATAAAGTTAGGCAGCTGTACCTGGAGGGTGTACCTGTAGACTGTGCTCGCAGCTTTATCTGGGACCAGGACATCTGTAAGAACGTCACTGAAAATAAAATCTCAGAGCAGGTAACTAAAAAGTTGGATTGCCATGGAGAAAATGGCTAATGGTCCGAAGAGTCCATAGATTGAGACTCTTGAAAATTGTATAAATCCAAGAGCGGTAGTTTCCTAATGTCATAGTATCCAGCTGCTGGGCTGAAGTGTTTGGTTTGTAGCCATTGTGTAATGTTCTTGCACAGCCATTGTTCATGACTCAGTTAAAAGAAAGCTTTATTGGATTGCCTACAGGACTAAATAGTTGTAGGTTTATTTGTCAGAAAGATTTGTAATTGGATTTTCCTACATCACCTTGACTCGTGCAGCAGATGAAAGGGATGAAGAGTCACAGAGAGGCTCTGTCATAGCCAGGATGATTCTGCTGACAAAAGAATCTTGGAAGTTGGAGGGAAATAAATTCCTCTGGTTCTGAACTGCAGCACACCATGTTGTGGTCATTCTGGGCAACACCTGTGATTCGTTTTTGAGCTTTAAATGTGCTGTTATAGGTTTGAGATCTCCTATCGTGACATTTGCATTGGCAGTGGCGGAGCAACCCATAAAATGCCTGGGTAAAATGGTGATTTAGTCACAAGAGGTGAAAAACTTTCTGCACCATTGTAATCAAAAAGAAAATATTTGTATGGCAGAAACATCTCTTTAAATAGTGTCTTTATGAAAGTTAGTTTTGTGCTCTTTCAAATTGGCTGCATAGTGTACAAAAAGCAGAGTACTTACAAAATACTATGCTAACTCATAACAGTTGCCAGCACAATCATTTTGTATATGACAGTGTTCTTCATGCTGTCATGAAATGCAATATTTATCTTATAAAACAGCTGATGCAGAAGAGACTTGTGAAGAGGCAGTCTGATGGTCTGTTTTTTTATAAATGTATTCTTAATGTGGTACAATGAAATATAACAATCAGTGATTGATAAAGGCTTGGTGCCAGCATGCTTTATGTGAAACTGTTTCACAGAATCACAGAATGTTCGGGGTTGGAAGGGACCTCTGTGTTTCGTGACCAAACGTTCTTCCCATCTCCCTGGATGTAGTTCAGTTTTGCTCCGAGTATTGACAGACTGTCTGAAAGCACCTGCGCAGTCTAGTCTTGTGCACAAATCTGTAAAGATCAAGTTGCAGTACTTCTTTTTCCTCCTGCATCTGTGCTGTGCGTTTTTGATCTGAGTTTCAGTACCTGCCCTCTGTCAAGGTCTGTGGAAGTAAGAAGGTGAGAAAAATGGTGCTTAATACTTTTTTCTAAAAACATTTTTCATGACGCGGTGAAGGTTAGTTCAAATGGTAGTATGTTACGAGTATATTTTTCCTAGTTATAAGCTCACCTTCTCTCTGTGTCTTGGAAGGGAAAAATGATTACTAACGCATGGGAAATGTCTCCTCCTTCTCAGGATTTAAACCATAAGAGAGCTCAATTACTGGTACCTGGATCACACCTTGATTTGGGTCCTTGTGAATCTAAGATTCCCATACTGTTGGTGCAGCAGCCGGGGAAAATGGCTGGAGAAGATCGACCTGGATGGGGGAGTGGCTGGGGGAGCTATCTCCCAAAGGGCTGGGGCATGGCTTTCTGGATTCCTTTTGTAAGTGACTTTCATTGCAAATTGCAAATAAATATGTGAAAAATTAGATCATTTGGTTCAAAATAATCTGTTTTAGAGAGTATACTTCACATTGTGTAACCAATTCACAATTACAGGATCAAAGTCCCACTTTAAAAGAGGGTGTATGAACTGGTTGATGACAGAGGCTTGGTCCTAAAATCTTAAAAACAAACACTAGCTTTCCATATCTTCTGTTGGGTATAACTGTGCTCACATGGCAGTCTAAACCACAAAATCAAAGTGGGGAGCAAGGAGAGAAATCTGATGCTATAGCTCATTGGTTTTGTGTTTCTAAGGGCATATGTATTTAAAGAGAAATCAATTATCAAAGAAATAAGGGCATATGTATTTAAAGAGAAAGAAAATTGCATTGTCAAGCTTGGCTATCTCCAGCACTCTGCCAACAAACTGGTTGCCTCTGCTTTGGGAAAGAGCATGAAACACAAAGTGACTTAAGCTTGAATACTTCTCTGGTGCTGTTTGGAGCATCCTGCTTTGAATGTTTAGATGGCAGTTTTAATGTCTTTCTGCAGTTAAATTTATGCTTTTGAATGTGCAGGGGGATCAATTGCAGTAATACCTACTGTACAGTTAAAATAAATTTGGCAGTGACTTTGCTGAAGTAACATGATGTTCCTGGTAACGTACAAGATCAGAACCTGTGAAATTCTGTTCAGTTTTGTTGATAGAATTTCAGAATTAAATTTAAAAAGCATGACTAACATTTTTGTTGAAATGAGCATCTAGAACTGTGAAAACCATACTTAAATTTTTTTTTTTTTTTGAAAGCTGAAGTGACCCAAAACGTTCACCAGGTGCAACACTTTGGGGGAGGAGGTGTATGCGGGGCTTTACTTTTGAATGACGACGTGAAGAAAGCTAGAAAAAGCTTCCTAATTGCAAGAGGCTCTAAAGCATTCTGAATATCAAAGAACACCTCACACTCCAAATGATTTCCCAGACTGCCAGGCGGGAATGCAGTTTGCCAAAGAGCTGGAAACCAGTCTTCTTGAAAAATTCAAACGGTAATACTAACTTCAAAATTGATTGCAAGAATGAAAAAAATGAATACTGCTTAAAATAGTCACTCAGTTATCTGTTGTGTTCATTTAGACTTGGGCTTTCACTAGTGTTTTAAATCCTAATGTTATAAAAAAGGAAATCCTAGATGTATTTAACAGAAAAGCTCTGCTAAACAGTACATTTAAGTTAACTAAATCCTGCTATTACAGTGATAAGGCTGTAACATGGCTGCATAAGAATAAGATAAGCAAAGCTATTTCAAGTTCCCTTAGGAGCAAATGAGGGAGGAGGTAGGAGAAGACAAAGGCAGAATGTCAAAGTACGTGCTAAGTGTTGAAGAATGAAGTGAATGAAGAGATATATTTCAGTGGCCACTTTTTAAATACCAGGTATTCTGAAGTTTGCCTTCATTTTCACTACAGTAGACACAGAACTCTTAACCATGACTGTGGGGTAGCTCCAGGTGTCCTCTGCACCAACTGGTGTTGTCTCCCCTTCCAGCTAGCTGGGGAAAGTAGGAGAAGCATAGAGGAAAATGTGGTGGTGTCAGTCACGGTAGATAGCAATATCCAGCATGACTGAAAGTATATGGTGGTCAGAAGTGCAGGAGCGTTGTCTAGAAGTATAACTTTAGAATTCTTACTCAATGAGATTACAAAGGGAATGCACAGTTAACTTTCTGTTCTAAATACTTGGTTTTGAAAACAGAAAACATTATTAGACCAGCAGGGCAAAGTAGACAGTTAGCCTTTTGAAGTGCTAGGGACTGAATAAGGGCCCAGGAAACAAATAATCTTACCTCTTTGGTTTATCATTTAGACGTCCACCTGCAAAAAGGGCAAATTATGTCAAGTTCGGCACTCTGTCCCCTTTCCTCTGTCCTTGGGGGCAGTTGACGAAGAACTGGGAAGGAAGAATGAAAGCTTCAGGAGAATTTGCACATCCTTCTTCCCCACACCCTGAGCGCTGCGTGACTGAAGGGCATAGCTTTTGTGACTCCAAAGCAGAAGTGGTCAATGAAGCTTCCTCTGAGACCGGTGAAGTAGAGGAGACCATGGAAATAACAAGCTCGGAAGGTGTCACAAAGACAGGTGATGTTACAGGCGCCAAAGACTTTGGTAGGAGAGATGAAGCTATGGCAAGTGACTTTGTTGTTCTCAGGTATGTCAAAATGATACACGCATGTGGGGTGTTATTTCATAATTGGGAATTACTGAATTAGGGAAAGGAAGAGCTCAGCCTTGATTATTAAGATGAGAGAAGTATTTGATCCAAATACAGTGAGGAGGTTAAATAGTTTTGTCATGGATCAGAATTTGCTGTTGAGTGGAAGTTCTTTTGCTTTTCCCCAGCTAACTTGGTGACTAGAAGGAGCAAATTTCTTTAAGCATCTGAAATTTAACACTCTTGAGTTAAATGTGTTCTTGAAGTTGACATATTATGTCTGCTTCCAGGTGGATGGAGCTGTTAGAGGCTCACATTTGTATTTAAAAACTGTTGTTGTGTAAATCAGCTTGCATTCTCTTTTTCTAATACATCATCACAGGTCGTTCTTGTGCTACTTAATACGGTCTGTCAAGAAAATAGTGTATCCCCGGCATTCCAATGCAACACATGAGGGCAGCAACAGTGTTTGGAAAGTGCCTGAATGCAGGTCTTTCATCTTTGTGTCGTTATCAGGGGAAGAAATCATTGCAGTTCTGGATTGCATTAAGGTCTCTGAAAGGTTTAGAGCATTTGTGATTTAACAAGTTTTGTGGGTTTTAACAAGTAATGTCTGATTCTGAAGAAGTAGCCTTGCACAGGAGTTGCACTCACCCTTGTTCTTTTTGTGCTCAGAGTGATACAAATACAGCTTGGAAGGTTACAGAAAGCCCCAGGGCCTTTTTTAATAAAGCTCATGCAAATATGCAGAGTACTAGATTTCTGTTGTACTAGTTAATAGCTATCCTTGATGTTTGTTTTTAAAAATTTCTAACAGGAGTGAGAAACTACTAATGCAGTTATCAGCCTGGTGCTATCCCACTGTTGGAAAAGATCGGCGAATCCGCCTTATTGCTCGCCTGGGACAGAAGGAAATGACTGAAGATGTCTTTTTGCCAATCTTGATGAGCTATCCGAGGGCTCTCGTATGGGTCAACTTGTCTGTTTTGAGAAAGGGGAACCCTGAATTACATGCCATGATTTGCATCCCAACAGAAGACGATTTTCTGCATCTAAGCAAAGACAGACTCTTCTGTGGTCCTCAGGAACCCAGACATCGGGACATATTCAAGCACAAGGTACAGAAAGTAAAAGACGAGCGGAAGAAGAAGAAGAAAAAGGATAACACGAAGGCTCTGGAAAGTGACCCTTCGAGTGTTCCAGATAAAGAAACAACTGAGGAGCACGAAGACCTCATTCTCGGTCTTTGGTCGGACGCTCTCCCGGATGTTACTTCCCACTGCTCCAGAACTCTCTTGGGATATGTCACTCGCGGGGATTTTTCATTGGCCGCAGGCTGTGGAGAAGCGCTGGGTTTTGTTAGCTTGACAGGGTTGGTTTATATGTTACACAACCAGCCAGCAGATAAAAAAGGGCTTGTTTTGTTAAGAGCTCCAGCATCTTTACAGTACAGATTTGCAAGACTTAATATTGAGGTTTAAGTATCATTGCAATGCAGTAGAATGCCAAAAATACCAAAGAATGTCCGTTTTGTCTGCTGTGGCCTTTGTGATATGTCTCAAATCTGAGGTGATTCTGAGCCCAAACAGCATTTTGAGGATTATGAAATCATTTAAAAGCTTTGTGGCATTATTCGTGAAAATAACTAATGCATAAACAGACCCAGTGCTGCTTTTGATGTCTGCATTGCTAAGGATTTCTAACAGTAGTGCATCCACTTTCACCATTTTCTTTATCTATAAAGAAGCATATTGATCATTTTTCACCTCAGAGCAGTGGATGCTATAACAATACACAGAAAATCAGTATTTTCCTTTTAGAAATCTTTTGGTGAGATGGATCGTAGCTTGTAATGTAAGTGCGTGCAATCTGGACCAGTGTATATAGCAAATGGCTTTTCCCATTTTTTCACGTCTGGATGCATGTGACTGCAGTGCAACACAGCTAAGCAGACAAATCTGTTAAGAAAGCAGAAGGGTACTGACTTCGGTGGAAAAGCTCTGTGCTTAAATGAAATGCAAATAAAATACAACCTGGCTATATAATCTTTGAATTATAGCAACTGGAGCTCTTAAATTGGAAAGCATATCAGTCTCTCTATCTCTAATCCGAGAGAGAAAACTATGTTTTTGAAAGGTAATAAGCCTTTCGGATGCAAATTGCTGTTGGTGGGTCAGCATACATTTTCTGTTAATAATAGGGGATATTTGGGTTCCTTAAAAACCTAAGGTTATTTTTGTATGGAGTGTGCGAAGATTGAAGGTTTATTCATTTTACTGTGTGGTTATTCATACAACTTGTATGCTGGAGGGGTGAGGGGAGAAAGGTGTTTGATTTGACTGGGGCAGGCTGGACTGGTTTTGGTGTTTTGTGGGTTTTTTTAATGGTAGCCTTCAGCTTCTCGCCATTCTTGAGTTACGCAGCTTGAAAACAAGTTTACAATAATACACTGTGGTTTAGTAGCAGCATGATACAAATATAGACCAGTTGGTAAAATTAGCATGAAACAATCATGTACAAATAAAAATCTAACCTATTCTTGATTCAGGAATCTACTGACTAAGCTTATTCTTTAAGAAAAGAAATATGGATCAGTTAATGACTTAGTCTTTCTAAGTATCAATCTGCAAATGAATTCCCTCTTTCACAGTTTTGTTTGAAAGAAGTCTTAGGCAAATGGATTAATGTTGTTTGGAGTTGTTTGTTGGAGGAAGGATTTAGAGTACCTTACCTTCACAATTATTAAGGTCCAGGGCCATTGGATTAAACGTGACACACACACAGGGCAGGGGGGAGAACATCGCTGATCGCAAGGGAAGTATGGGAAGTGGAGCTGGAATTTTTTTTAAGCCTTCAGAAGACCGATTTAAGAATCACACACCAGCTGGGGTTATGGCAGTGTGTGGGACAGAAAGACACAGCCTCCAGCACAGCTTGGACTACAGCTCCGTGAGAAACCGCGCCTCATGGCTCCAGCATCGCTCACCTTCGGTGCACCTGATCAAGGAATCGCGGTCTCAGAAACATCCCGAGAATCATCTGCGCGATAGCCGGCAGACGGCCCCAGAGGAAAAAGCCTGGTGCTGTGCGGGGCTGGGATTCAGATGCTCTGCAGCCTGTGGGTACGGGTGAATAAGGAGCCTCTTCAATGTTACAGCCTGGCTGCTCTGGTCAAGTTCTGTCATGGTAATAATCCTGGATTTAATGAACTTTTTGAACTGTGAGCCCAATAGAAATATTTCTAGGATCAGAGTTTCCAGAGCTGTGCTTCATGGGAAGAAAGGGGAGGAGGTGATGGCTCTTTTCACCGCTTAGCCTCCCTAATCTTCTTAGTAGACACATACTTTCTTGCGTTACTAGACCTGGCTTGTATGTAAGAAAGAAAGGGGAGAAGCCCCCCACCTCAGCTATCATTTTTTTCTTTTCTGCTTGTAGATCTTTTGTTCACTGAATCTTTCCCAGGTTTTTATTAAAAAAAAAATACATCTGGAGTCTTTTTTCTTTTCCTCCTATTGGTAATTTCTGCCAGGTTTTCATTTTGACACTTCCTGTTACTTTTCTTTGATTTCCATTCTCTATTTCTGATTTATGATCCTTCTCTCTGGTGAGCCAATGAACAGAAACTGGAATCCAAGTGCATCCTGTTCTGTATATCTTGTAATATTGTTACACAGTTGTTTTGCTTTAAGTCGATGATTTATGCCTTAAGATTTCACTCTCCTTGTAAAATACACTGCAAGCCCGATAAGTTAATGCTCAAAACTCTCAGCCAAAGTTTGTCAGAAAAATACTGTTGCTTTATGTAGTTGCAAGGAAATTTTTATCTGTGGTCGAGATTTCCAGATTCTAAGCGTCTTGAGGGTGACTTAGTCATAAAAACCGCGTCAACACCAGATAATCAAACTGTGGATAATTAAGCCCATGTTATCTGTGCATCAGCTGGACAGCAGGTCTGTGTTCATCATGTTGAATCAGGTGTAGTTTGCAGCACACATCTGTTCTTGGGCTCTATCTTACTGACATTACTGCCCATTGGTTAACTACCCCAGAGCATCTGGATCAGCTCCTGTGGACTCTGATATGCGAGCATTTTGGGGAACCTCAGTGAAAGATGCTCTCGCAAGCTCTCTGGCTCCCATGCTGTTCTCCAGATAACCTTCTCAAAATGGACACCAGCACAAACCCTTAGCTCTCATTCCTTGCTTGGCAGGAGCTTTTGGAAGCTGATGTGAAGCACAGAAGGCAATTCTGGCATTATCTGTAGCCCTGAAGAGCTTGAATGCTACCATGCTGCTCCTGTAGCTCTACCTACGGCTCCCTCAGAGCAGCTGAATGAACGCTGTACTCGAGACTCACTTGGTGAAGGGTCTTTTTGCAACCTGCGCCATGACTTACATGGTAGTTGCTTTCCATGTTAAGACAGGCGCAGTGACTAATAGACCTGCCAAGCTGTGGGGCTCATGGCTTTGAAATGCATGTTCTTTACCACTGCAAATCCAGAAAATGAGGTTGCAGGAGAGGGTGTTGATTACTCTGTGGAATGAGGTGAGGTGGGACCTTAGCCAGATTGTTGTGTGTTTGTTAAAGATGTTCAGGGCAATCGGTTTGCTTAGCAGTGCGTAAGTAACGGGAGATGTTACCTGGCAGAAAGGCAGCTGGGGTTATTGAAACAAATCTGGGAAAATAATTGGCAGGGTGACAGACCTCTTGATGGAGCTGGAAGCTTTGGGGGATCACGGCACATGCAGACAGAGGGTAGTCAAATGCAGTATGACAGTTTTCTTTCAGTGCTCTAAATCTGGAAGAGCCCAATACGTCAAACCTGATCTATTCACAGGTCCATGTGAGGTAGGTAGTAGCAACAGCTCGGGGCAGGTTTCTGAAGTGCTAGGACTGAGAAAAGCAGAAAAGCAATGGCATTGTTTTATTTTCCAAAAATACAACATTCAAAAAACCCCAACCTCGAAGTCTCATGCTTCTAAATGCTCTTCCCAGAGGTCAGCAATCTAAATGACACCCACGGTCTACCTATTCCAAATTCAACTCGGCTGTACTAAAATACAGCGAGATCGAGTGCATCCACAGCAAATCTGCAGATGACACCAAGCAGAGTGGTGCAGTTGACACGGCTGAGGGGCAGGATGCCATCCAGAGGGACCTGGACAAGCTGGAGAGGTGGGCCTGCATGAACCTCATCAGGTTCAACAAGGCCAAGGGCCAGGTCCTGCACCTGGGTCAGCACAACCCATGCTGCCAATACAGGCTGGGGGATGAGGGGATTGAGAGCAGCCCTGCCGAGAAGGACTTGGAGGGACTGGTGGATGAAAAGCTGGACATGACCCACTAATGTGCACTCGCAGCCCTGAAGGCCAACCGTGTCCTGGGCTGCATCAAAGGCATTGTGGTCAGCAGGTCAAGGGAGGTGATTCTGCCCCTCTGCTCCACTCTGGTGAGACCCCACCTGGAGTACTGCATCCAGCTCTGGAGCCCTCAGCACAGGAAAGACATGGACCTGTTGGAGCAAGTCCAGAGGAGGCCACAAAAATGATCCGAGGGCTGGAGCACCTCTCCTGTACGTATCGCAGCCTTTCAGTACCTGAAGGGGGCCTGTAGGAAAGAGGGGGACAATATTTTTAGTAAGGCCTGTTGTGGCAGGACAAGGAGTAATGGCGTTAAACTAAGGGAGGGCAGATTTAGACTAGATGAAAGGAAGAAATTTTTTCCAATGAGGGTGATGAAACACTGGAACAGGTTGCCCAGAGAGGTGGTTGATGCCCCCTCCTTGGAAACATTCAAGGCCAAGTTGGACAGGGCTCTGAGCAACCTGAAGGACTTAAAGATGTCCCTGCTCCCTGCAGGGGGTAGTTGGACTAGATGACCTTTAAAGATCCCTTCCAACCCAAAGCATTCTGTGATTCTAAAATGCTTCTTTGTGAACACTGGGCTCATCAAATCCCTGCAAAAACAAATAAAGTTGTACTGAATAATGAGAACTCTGGGAAAGGACAGAGGAGATGGGCTGACACCATTTTGTGGCAGCTTTGAAAGTCAGAGCCTGCTTGACCCTGGACAAAATAAAATTAATGAGTTCAAGGTAGTCTGTGAAGTAGGTGGGGTGACAAAAGAACAGATGAAACAACTTTCATTTGTTGCAGTGGGTCTCTTCTTAAAGAAATACAGTTTCTTGTATGGTAGAAAAAATGCCTACACAGAATGATTTATTTGGGTTTTAAAATTTTTTTCAGACACTCCCAGATGTGCATGACATGTACCAGCATCAGCTTGCTTGACACGTTTTACCTATCCCTTCATCATGGGTTTACAGCAGTGCTGCTAATCTGACAGCCTTGCACAGCTAAGCTCAATTCTTTGGAAACAGAAATCAAAAAGACATCCAGAACATAGCAAGAATAAAGCAGAGAATAAAAAAGCAGTCTGAAGGAAGGGAGTGGCTCAAATTTCATGATCCAAATATGTGAGGATTTGCTGTAAATT